AGATGTGTTTTGGCCTTAAAGATCTCAGGCATGATAAGCATGCCGGTGTGTGAGTGATACACACACACGAGCTGTGTGTGTGTATCTCTTAAAAAAATATTATTATTTGACTAACGCCACTTATATTTGTAATTCTTAATTGGTTTTATGTTTAAATAAAAAACGTAATAAATACTTAATCTATAAAATATGCATTAGAGAGCAATTATTTCTACGTAACTATTAAATCTGCTAGAAAGCTAGTAAGTCTCTAAACTTCGAAACTTTCGATGACTTTTCAAAAGAAAATTTCGCATTGTTCCTAGCGACGGGCGACCTCATAATTCCCGTTACATTAATTATGGAAACGACACACTTCTCGAATGTGTAGATGACATTCTTTGTACAAAATTAATGATTTTAGTTGCTCTTCCAAGCCGAGCCCGCCTCTCGAACGGCATTTGTAAGAGGGTTTTACACTTTCTTTGGGAACTACTTTAATGGCTTTTCTTTAGACCCTCGGGTATGGTGTTATGGCGTTTCCTACATATTTATAGGGGATAGTATATTGTTTTTCGTATAGTCAATTCTTAGCGTTTTTTTTTTTTTCATTTATATATCTAACAATCAGAATAATATTATCGGATACAATTCCAGGGCACTTTTGGTACTTGTAAAGATGATTTAAAAAGTATGCTGCACTAATTTATTATAACCGCCAGAAAATTTCACATGTTAGTTTTCCAAAAAAAGCAAAATGCGTGGTTAACCCGGTATCTGACAACACCAAAAATAGATGAATAGGTGAAATTATTTTATTGGGTACATAATCTTATATAGCACTCAATAAAATCCTGAGGTACCAGAAGAAGCAAGGGGAAAGCGGTTTTTGAATAGTGGTTGCCTAGAAGCAACACTGCCAGTCAAGAAACACTATTTGATACTAACTACACTAATGAAGATCTCAAAATATAGTTAATCATATGTAAAGAACTATTTAACTATAATATTTTATTGATTTAATAAAAAAAATTTTATATATAAAGCGCCTAAACTAAAAAATAATAAATATAGGCCTAATTCTAACGATGAAATGATAAAAAACAATTCTTGTTCGTTGTAAAACAAAGCCGCATGTTACATTGTATCGCCAGTTTTATAAAATCTACATATTTCTTTAGCAGTATAAACTGGCGAGTGACCTAACGCATCTGTTCTGGTAGTATCATCAGGTCTTACAGCAAGAGGATGGCGAATTAGGTAATTTGTATTTTCCTCTGATCTCATCCACATACTTGATGGACGGCCTAGCTTCACTTTGATCTTTTCAGTGTTGGACGAAGACCTAGCTAGTTCACAAGAGGAAGTCTTAAAGAAGTGGCCCAATAATCTTCTATTGCTGGCAGCTGTATTACCCCTATAAACATAAAAATGAAAAAAAAGTCTGTTATTTTGGAAGTTTTTGTGTGTATTAATATTTAGGTTTATTGATTATTTGGTACGGCCGATCTGGCTGGTTCCCTGCATAAATTTCCATATTAAAAACATAAAAAGTACGAGAGTCTACTACGGACTGAATTTTTATTACGTATTTCGCGGGGTTGTTTGGAATATACTACCGGAATGAGCAACGCCCAGGAAAAGACTCTAATTTCTCGTCAATAGTCAAGTACTGTTTTGGTGAGTAAGCTTGTTGACAATTTGCAACAAATTTTTCAAAAACTGCCTTAATAGGTCCCATCTTATCAGACTATTGCCTTTCTTGTCGATTGTCTATATTATCGAAACGTAAGTACTACAATAAAATTGTAAATCTATTGAGTGCCATCACTGAACGAAATATTATATCGATTCCTGTAACATCTGTTTGCCAAATGTCTTTTAGATTACGATGACCATTTCTATATACACCTAATAGGTAGAGGAGGTCAAATAATGCCTTTATTTTAACAATATTGGTCCTGCTACAATATGCTTTATCTTTGTAGGCTAACGCTTTTTTATTTATCAATACATTAGTGCATACCTTAATACCTTTAAGCATTTCTTTATCAAAAAAAAGAAGCCAGCAATCTAAAAGAGTCTTAGCGTTTTTGGAATTTTGTTTTGGAATTCCTACGTAAATAATAAGGATATTTTTTATCTTCTTTTCGCTTATTTTTAAGAAAGTTCAGTTTAGTTTCCAGAAAGTCTGTGGCAACTCTGCTGGTATGTGGAAAGGCATTATCGTGAATAAAAATTAAAATATTTCTCACTGCACCTCTTCACAGCCTAACTATGGGTTCTAGTACCAAATGGACATACCGACGACCCGGTAAACTTTGCTGTAAGGGACGCAAAGGTGTTTTTTCTTTCATCATAATACCTCCCCAAAACATTACAGTTCCTCTTTTATATTTTGGAACGGATCTGGCAGTTTGCAGTCCAGCTTGTCTGCCTTGACCTCTTAAAACCCGAATTCGACGGTCATCTGATCTCAGGCCAATTTTGGTTTTATCTAAAACAAGGACATTTTGCCAATCTTCATTTGTCCAGTTCTGGTGTTCCAGACACCAATTCATCCGATCCATTTTATTCTGTCTGGATAACTCGGAAACTCTCAACTGCCTCCTGCTAAAATAAATTTTGGGAACGTCTCTTTCGTACTATTTCAACTGAAATGTCAATACCTGTAGTCTGCACAAGTTGCCTTTAGAGCTCCGGATGAGAAGAGATTGGATTTTTTCTTGTAGGTGTTTGACCTAAAAACCGGTATTGTCGATTACTAGTTACTCTATGATGACTTTCTTTAGGTCTGTTCTTTACTCTACCCAATTCTAAAAATCTTACAAATGTTTTTGAAACAACGCTCTGCGAGACCTGTAGCGTAGCTGAAATTTGCCTTTCTGACATTCCCTGTTCAACAAGAGCATCAATTCTTCCCCTCTGAACATCTGACAAACCTACGTAGAGCATATTACCTTTTTGAACACAAACTTAACTTTACTCTGACTTCTCGGTTTTACAACTTGACACAAATAATAAAAATTTTCAATGAGTACTTAATCAAATTTTATCAATTATGAATCGTATTTCCAACAAAAACTTTTATCTTTTATGTGAAAAAAAAAGTTGTCATAAATTTATTATTATTAGTAAGAAATACTGCGTGATTCCATATCAGTTTGGTTGTGTGTATAACCTAATTGGCTTGTTAAATTTCTGTGCTAGTTGTAGTTTTTGATATTAAATTAAACTAAATTTATATTAGTTTAAAAATACTACATTTTTATTTGAATGAATAATAAAGGGGAAAAAATACGCTTAAAGGAAACGAATGTGAAACGCATCCAAATAAATAAAATTACCAAGACAAAATCCATTTTCCTGACAACAAATATTAAATGAGCGTTAAAAGGAACGAAACGCAAAAAGCCAAAGCAAAAACTTCCCTGCAAAGATTTGTCGTGTTTTACTTAAACGTTGTCAAGATAAATTCTTCCTTTTTTTGAGCTTCGTCGACTTGTAATTTGTTTTATTTGAACTAGTCGTGCGTGAATATTTAAACGAGAAATCTTCAAGGTGTTAAACCTATATCAAGCGAAACTCCAGCGTTCAGTGTGCGACATTTTCTTGAATTATTAATAGAGTAAGAATTCTATTTCGAAGCGTTCAGTTTCCCTTTACCCATTTGTAAGTCTATCCCTCGTGGTGAATGAATTCTTTCCGTATTGGTTGTTCACTGTTATTTATTTCTCATTTGAGAAATGTCTTCGGAAATGGAAACTTTTCTATATTTGCATACTAGTCGAGACAAGTAAAAATGTAAAGTGGCTGTGTTTTAATTTTGTACTGACTAATATATCTTCACTTGGTACACCTACTAATCATTTTCAGTTACTAACGGAACAACAAAAAATTCTTACCAACTGAAATGAATTAGTATGTACAATTTTATGCAAAAATGAAAATAAATCAATTCTGCAAAATTATTCCCCAATTACGCTTCTTAATGTTTTGTACTTAGTATTTACTAAAATTTTACCAAATATAATAACTTAAATACCTTTGAATATAGTACTGATACCGAGTTGTTGGCGTATTTTAGCATAAAAAGGACATTCGATAATTATATGTCTAATTCGCAGAGTCGTATTACAGTGCTAACATTTTGGTTATATAGATGATGTCATCAGATAGCCATGTGTTAGACAGGTATGTCCTAGTTGCAATCTTCGTATGAATACCATATTTTTTTTAGATAAACTGAAATAGGTAATTAGGTTCACTAAGGGGTTCAAATACATGCAGCGCTGAAGGAACTTCATTCCACTAAATCTAGCAGGTGGATAGAATAGCTTTTAGATCGTTACGGATTTGTAAATTATTGGTGTTTATGATTAATGCGGCTTTTTTGGCAAGGCAATTAGCTTTTTAATTTCCACTCATTCCAACATGCAATGGTACCCATATCATCGTGACTGTTGTATTTTACTTTACAAGAAGCTGATGTATTCCTGCTGCCTATATATGCTGCCTATTTGGATATTGTTTGGCATATTTTAAGGCACGTGACACAGCTAGTAGTTCACCAGTGTGAGTACTATATTAAAGAGAAATTTTATGTAGTTTGATGGGCTATTGTACAGTGGTTATAAAATATCCAATACTACTTTCAATCTTTGACGCGTCAGTGTAAAGAACTATGTTTTTATGTAATTATTTTTGTTTATAAGTTCTAAAAAGAGGATTCTCAATATGTTAACACTGGTATCCTTCTTGTTAAATTTGGTGATGGAAATATCATGATGGGTACGTATATTGGTCAATTAGGAATTATTGGAAATTGGTAGAGTTCTAAGTTCTAATTTCAGACAAATTTATATGTTTCAATAACGGCTGTAGAAGACTACTAATAATGTTTAATTAAGATACATGTAGGGTAGTGATGGGGTTGGTGTAGTGATGTAATTAAAGGATATACTGGATTATAGGGACAACTTCTCGATTTTCCTGGACAACAGTTATTTTTCCTATTCCTTCTACTGCCTTCTGGATTTCTTTAATTTCCTTTTTGTTTCGACCTTATCATATTGTAAAGCTCTCTTCAGTTTCCAGTCCACTTTTTTTATTCCTTCTTGTATTTCTTTGCGTGTCTTCTCTTCCGCAGTTTCTATTTGCTTCTTCTGACTCTTTAGTTTCATTTCTGTTTCTTTCGCTATTTTATCAAGTACTCTTTGTATTTGTTGTTGATAACTCTTTATTTTATTTTTGTATTTCTTTAATTTGTTTTCTATTTTAAAAAATTCTGTTCTTATCATCAACTTTTTACTTTTCTGTCTATTTTCATGTTGTAACTTCATCATAGATTGCTGTATATTCATCGTAGTTTCCTGCTGTGCTTTTATCATATTTATGTTTCTTTCTATTGCGTCTTCATTATTATTATTTATTTTTCCAACATTTCTGTTTCTTGTTTGTTCTCAACTAGTGTTGAGTTAGTAGTTGAGTAGTGATAACTTAATTTTAAAATTCCATACATAAAATCAAATTAATTGTGATCTAATTAGCAAATTAAAATAACAAAATTGTTTAATAAATTTTAATGCAGACGCCAGATTAATAAATATATATTTTTCTCATCTCAGGGTTCTTAATGGAGTTCAAAGACATTATCTTTTCTTTTAATAGTGCTTAAGAAAAAAGAAAAAGTAAAGAGTAAGAGAAAGTAGAAAAAAATAAATAAAAGAAATCAATTGGTGCAGAAATTCAAAATATAATTACCAAATACCCATTTATATTTTCATACACTAAATAAATATCTTATAAATAAATGTTACTCTGTTTTATATACAATTAACCTCAAAACAATTTAAATATAATATAGTTCAATCAATGTCTCGTTTCCACAACTTTGCTTTGTATTTTTCTAAACGGATTTACTATAATTAGTGCGCTATCTAACAAACTTATTTCCGGGTCCTGCTTATAAAAATAAAACTGTCGACAAACTCCTATGTTTATTTCTCATATTGGAATGCCAAAATTCTCCTTTCTTTACCCTACTTTTTACCACAATAATTTTTCTTTTATCGGTTTTATTAAAAAAAGTATCGGCACACTCCTTTCATTTTGTCTTCACTCGTTTAAAGTCTAACAGCAGATGATCCTCCCCGCTTCTTTAATCTCATTCATGTCTGTCTATCCCTTCCATAATTACTTGTAACTAATAAAAACATTCTTTCTTTGCATTCAACCAAATTGTGAAACTCTCTAAACTCTTAAAACTCAACTTATTTCAAATTCCCATATTTATGTACAAATCATACAAGACAATCACTTTCTACTTTCTCCTTTATCGTTAATGACCACTTTTGAGATAACAGAAATGAATCCCTGAAAACGGCAGGTAGATATAATATTCCAATGCAACCTATTTATCTACTATCTATACAGCCCTTCCTTGTCAATTTTGGATAAAGGCCTCCTCTTCCTTTTTCCACGTCTCTGTATTGTAGGCAGTTTGTATCCACTTCGAGCTGGCGTGTTTCTTCAAGTCATCTGACCATCTCACTTGTGATCTTCCTCTTTTTTTTTACAACTATATGGTCTCCAGTGTATAATCATTTTATTCCATCTGTCGTCTTTCTGTCTTATGGTGTGTCCAGCGAACTTCTACTTAAGTTTTACTATCTGCGTTGATACTTCGGTCACTTTTTTCTGTTGCGACTCCAAGTATTTCTTGTCTTGTCTGATGTCCATGGTCTTTGCTATTTTTCCATGTTTTCCTTTATAAACGTCCAAGTTTGAGAATCGTGAGAAGAGGAGAGGAGAGAAGAGGTGAGAAGAGGAAGTATACATTGGTTGAGGACTCTTGTTTTAAATATTGGGGTATTTTCTACTTTTAAATACATAATATAGTTTTTCGAAGGATACCCAAGCCAACCGTATCCTTTTCTTTATTTCTCCGGTCTAATTTTCTTTATTTAATTTAACTAGTTGTCTCAAATATACATATTCTTTTACTTGTTCTATAGTTGTTTGTGAAATGGTAATTATTAATTTTTCTATTTGGTTGGTTGGTCATAATTTTCGTTTTATTATAATTCATTTGTAGACCAATTTTTGTTGATCCTCTATTTAATTCATCCATCATATTTTGTAATTCTTCCCTTTTATCTGTTATTAATACAATATCGTCTGCATATCTCAAGTGATTTAAGTATTGGCCATTTATGTTTATACCCCGCTTTTCCCATTGTAATTTCCTCATGGCGTCTTCCAAAGCTTGATTGAATAGTTTAAGTGATGTAGTGTCACCCTGTCTGACTCCTCGCAGTATCTTAATAGGCTCCGTTTGTTCAACTATTTTAATGAATGTTGTTGCTTCATCATATATATTAAACATTAAAATTAATGGGAAAAAACCCCGTAATTGGCTGTATACCATATTTTAAAAAAACATGTTTTTTTATTAAAAATTAAGTCTGTATATATATATATATATATATATATATATATATATATATATATATATATATATATATATATAAATATATATATATATATATATATATATATATATATATATATATATATATATAGTTTATTCTCCCATTTCGCAAAGAGTTCTTTACTGCCCAATGTTCCACCTTATCGAATGCTTTGTCAAAGTCTACAAATGCCATATACATTGGAATTTGATATTAGTTGGCTTTTTCAATTAATATTTTTGTCGTAAGCAGATGGTCGCTTGTATTGAATCTTTTTCTAAAACCGGCTTGCTCTCTTGACTGGTAATTATCTAACTTAGTTGCTAATCTGTTTGTTAGTAGTTTAGTTAACAGTTTGTACATTACATTAAGTAGCATTATATAAGCCTACATAGTTTTTGAGATCTTTTCTATCGCCTTTCTTAAATAGTAATAGTACTATTGCCTCGTTCCGTGAGTTGAGTATTTGTTTTGTGTTCAATATTTTATTAATTAGTACAAAAAAGACTTTAGTTCTCTCAAAATTGACAGTTCTATCTGCAGTTCCCACTGTAGTTTTTCTCCCATTTTTTAGCATTACCACAGTTATTTAACTTTTCTTAGGAGATGTAATATTCTTCACTTCTTTGATAAACTTTTTTATTTCATTTTTACTGATTTCTGGTTGTAGGTCAGAGTTAACGTTTTTTTTTTTCAGTTGTAACTGCTTACGGATTTCTTGGGTTGGTTTTCGATCTGTTTTTTAGAAATTTGTATAATATTATAATATATTGTTGGATATAGTCCCCCATCGGGCGCGTCACCAGGTGGCGGATAAGGGAAGGCCTCCCAGATATGGGTGGTACCGGGGAAATGAAATACCTGGCGTGGACCAAAACTAACTAACTCGTCAGGAAATATGTCAAATTATGAAACAAACGGAAAAGGACCCCAGGTGGTTAGAGTTACTAACTCATAATCCCACACCGAGAAACCGATTCGCCTCAAGGATTATGGGGGAGCAAATATTTGACAAAAATAAATGTAGGAACGTATAACATCAGATCCATAAACGAAGACACTAAAATCCACGAACTAGAGAAAGAACTGACTAAAATAGAGTTTGAGGCATATCCGAAGTAAGAAGAAAAGTAGAACAGAAAATACTAAAAAACAGGAAATTTGCTATACTTTAATGAAGAAGAAGGTAATGAAGAAAACACCAACCATAAGGTAGGATTTATAATAAGTAAAAAAGTAGTTAAATACATACAATCTACTAAGGTCAGATCAGATAGAGTAGCATACATAACGCTTAAATTCAAAAGAACGTCCTTAAAAATCATACAGGTGGATGCTCCAACAAGTACCTACAGCGATAACGATATTGAACATTTCAACGAAGACATAACAACAGTTATGGAAGAAAAGAAAACAAAATTATTGTCAATAATCAGGGACTTCAATGCCTGCAATAGAAAAACAAATATATAAAGAAAAAGACAAAGTAGTACAACATGGATACGGCAAAAGAAATGATAAAGGACAGACATTGATTAATTACTTGGAGGAGAAGCAACTATATGCAATGAATACATTTTTTAAGAAAAAACCTCAAAGAAAATGGATATGGATTAGTCCCAATGGTAAAACTAAAAACCAAATTGATTATATTCTTTTAACGGAAGAAGTCATGGTTAAAGACGTAACAGCCCTAAATAGCTTTTCAATTGGTAGCGACCATAAACTATTCCGAGCTAAGCTGTTCATTAATAGTAGATTTGAAACAAGAAAGAAAATGGAAAATATTCATAAATTAGACATGGAAAAATTAAACAAGAAAAACAGACTTACGAAGAGAGAATAAAGGAAATATTGCCGACCAAGGAAGATATAGAACACAAATATATCAATGAAATAAACAAGATATTTACTAAAACTCTAATGAAAGTGGTTAAAAAAATAGCACAGACAACAACAAAAATAGAAAGTTTCATATCCCAGGAAATACAGATTTTTATGAACACAAGTAGAACATTACTGAACAAGGGGACAGAAATAAAATAGAATACAAAGAAATAAACAAAACTATTAGAAAAATATCAAGGAGTGTAAACGGTGTGTACAGAAAGAAAATATAAAGAAAAAATAGAATCTGGGAAACAATGCAACCTATTATTTACAAACTACTCTTAAATCTGTTTCTTCTTGTAGTGCCTATCTGTTTCGGATGTTGGCGACCATCATGGCCATCTGCATTTTGCACACTGCTGCTCTAAAAAGATTGGTAGTTGTTGTGTTGAACCACGTTCGTAGATTTTTCAGCCAGGAAATCCTTCGCCTTCCTGGTCCCCGTTTTCCTTCTACCTTTCTCTGCAAGATTAGTTGCAGCAGTCCATATCTTTCGCTGTTCCTCATGATGTGACCGAGGTATTCAATTTTGGCTGTTTTTATTGTGGTTAACAGCGCTTTTTCTTTTTTCATTCTCAACAGAACACCCTCATTAGTAACTTGGTCGATATACGATATCTTCAAGATGCGACAATACAGCCACATTTCAAAAGCCTAAAATTTCTTGCAGGTGGCGTCTGTGAGAGTCAATGACTCAACTCCGTACACCAGTATAGGAAAGATGTAACATCGTAGTAACCTGATTTTTATGGGCATTGATAAATCATGACATTTGAATAACTTAGTCATTTTTTGAAATGCGGATCTTGCTTTCTCTATTCTACATTTGATTTCTATGGAATGGTCCCAATTTTCATTGACGTCCGTACCAAGGTAGGTGTACGTTTTCACTCTTTCTATTTGTTGACCGTTTACACTGATTTGTCCAAATTGCCATTCCTTCTTAGAGATCATCATGCCTTTTGTTTTCTTAGTGTTTAGTGAAAGTCCGTATCTCTGACTGACATCTGTGATTCTGTTCGTTAACT